AAGCAATCTCCCCAACTCGCCTCAACACCTCAAATGGCCCAATAAACCTTGGGCTCAACTTGCCCTTCTTCCCGAATCTCATGATCCCCCTCATCAGCGAGACTTTCAAGAGAAGCTTCTTGCCGACCATGAATGCTACATCGCACGCCTTCTGATCCGCATAATTCCTCTGTCTGTACTGAGTTGTGCGGAGCCTTTCTTGAATCAACTTCACCTTTTCTAAGGCATCTTTCACCAAATTTGTTCCATACAACTTAGCCTCACCGGGCTCAAACCACCCGATAGGAGAATGACATCGCCGGCCATATAATGCCTCAAATGGAGCCATCTCAATGCTGGACTGATAACTATTGTTCTAAGCAAACTCACCCAAAGGCAAGAACTGATCCCATTGTCCTCCAAAATCAATCACACATGCTCTAAGAATGTCTTCCAAAATCTGAATTGTCCGTTCCGACTGTCCGTCGGTCTGAGGATGGAATGTTGTGCTGAGCTCTACACGGCTCCCCAACTCACTCTGAACAGCTCTCCAGAAATGTGAAGTGAACTGATGGCCCCTATCTGATTTAATGGAAATGGGCACACCGTGCAACCGAACTATCTCCCGAATGTTGATCTATGCTAACCTCTTTGAGGTATAAGTAGTCACTACCGGAATGAAGTGTGCCAACTTGGTCAACTTGTCGACAATGACCCAAACTGCATCAAACTTCTGCAATGTCCGCGGAAACCCAACTATGAAGTCCATAGTAATACGTTCCCACTTCCACTCTGGTATAGGCATCTGTTGTAGTAGGACACCTGGCCTCTGGTGCTCATACTTAACCTGCTGACAGTTCAAACACCTAGCCACATACTCAACTATGTCCTTCTTCATCCGCCACTACCAATACTGCTGCCTCAAGTCACGATACATCTTCGTAGCACCTGGATGAATAGAATACCGTGAACTGGGTGCCTCTTCCAAAATCTTCTCTCTCAAGCTATCGACATTAGGAACATATAGGCGACCCTGGAGTCATAGAAAACCATCCTCGCCCATAGAAACCTCCTTGGCACTACCCTGTAGCACCGTCTCTCTGAGAACTGCCAAATGCGGATCTGAAATGTCCAACATCACCAGTCTGTTAGCCAAGGACTGAATGTCCAAAGCTAGTGGCCTCTCCTCCGCTAAAATGAATGCCAAGCTACCCTTGCTCTCTCCCTTCCTACTAAAGGCATTTGCGACCACATTTGCCTTGCCCGGATGATAAAAAATGGTGATGTCATAATCCTTTAGTAACTCAAGCCACCTACGCTGCCTTAAATTAGATCCCTCTATTTAAACAAATGTTGCAAACTACGATGATCAGTGTAAACCTCACATGACACCCCATACAAATAATGCCTCCATATTTTAAGAGGATAAACAATCGCTGCTAACTCCAAGTCATGCACAAGGTAATTCTTCTCATGAATCTTCAGTTGATGAGAAGCATATGCAATAACTCGTCCTTCCTACATCAATACACATCCCAAGCCAATGCGTGAAGCATCACAATATATAGTATACATCCCTGAATCGGAAGGCAACACAAGAACCGGTGATGTAGTTAAATCTATCTTGAGCTTCTAAAAGCTCGTCTCACAATCATCGGACCAACGGAAAGGAGAACCCTTCTGGGTCAATCTAGTCAGAGGTGATGCAATAGATGAAAGGTCCTGCATGAATCGACAGTAATAACCTGCTAACCCCAGGAAACTCCTGATCTCGGTCACTGAAGTAGGACGTGGACAACTCTGAACTGCCTCACTCTTCTTGGGATCCACCTTAATACCCTCTCCTAACACAATATGCCCCAAGAATGCCACTGACTCTAGCCAAAACTCACACTTAGAGAACTTAGCATATAGCTTCTGCTCTCGCAAGGTCTGAAGAACTACTCTCAAATGCTGCTCGTGCTCCCCCAGCTTATGACAGTATATCAAGATGTCATCAATGAAGATGACGACAAAGGAATCAATATAAGGCCTGAACACCCTGTTCATCAAGTCCATAAAAGCCGCTGGGGCATTAGTCAAGCCAAAGGATATCACCAAAAACTCATAATGACCATATCAAGTACGGAAAGAAGTCTTCGGAACATCTGAGTCCCGAATCTTCAACTCATAGTACCCTGAACTCAAGTCGATCTTAGAGAACACCCTAGATCCCTGCAATTGGTCGAACAAATCATCAATGCGCGGAAACGGGTACTTGTGCTTGATGGTATCCTTGTTCAACTGGCGGTAATCAATGCATATCCGCATGGTCCCATCCTTCTTCTTTACGAACAACACTGGTGCACCCCAAGGTGACACACTTGGTCTAACAAACCCCTTTGCTAACAACTCCTCAAGCTGCTTCTTCAACTCCTTCAACTCTTTCGGAGCTATACAGTATGGTGGAATAGATATAGGCTGGGTACCTAGAGCCAAATCAATGCAGAAATCAATATCACGATCTAGTGGCATGCCAGGAATGTTAGAAGGAAACACATCGGTGAACTCCCGGACTACTGGAACTGAATCAATCGTCGGCGACTCTGTCGTGGTGTCCCAAACATAGGCTAGATAAGCCAAGAAACCCTTCTCGACCATGTGTCGAGCCTTCAGGAAAGAGATCACCCGGACTAGAGGCTCTAACTAAGGAACCCTTCCACTCCAACCTTGGCAACCCTTGCATCGCTAAAATAACAGTCTTGGCATAGAAATCTAGGATGGCATGGTATGGGGATAACCAATCCATGCCCAGGATGACCTCAAAGTCGGTCATATCCAGCAGCAGAAGATCTGCTCTAGTCTCAAAACCACAAAATAAGACCATACAGGACTGGTAGATCCGATCCACAACCATAATATTGCCCACAGAAATGGACACATGAATAAGAGTACCCTAGGACTCACGAAGAATATCCAGAAAATGAGCAAACAGAGATGACACATATGACTAGGTAGACCCTGGATCAAATAGCACTGAAGCATCCCTACGGTAGATGGAAATAATACATGTGATAACGGCATCTGAGGCCAATGCATCTGGCCTAGCCGGAAAAGGATAGAATCTGGCCGGAGCCCCGACTAGCTGGCCTCCACCTGACTGAACAGTAGTTGGGTGACCTCTCCCTGTCTGGCCTCCACCTCTAGGGCGGCCCTACCAGTCTGTCCCCCGCCTCTAGGCGGATAGGCAACCAGTGTTGTAATCATGGGCTGCTGAACCTGATGCACCGCCTTGCCCCGAAGCTTGGGGCAGGTCCTCTTCATGTGACCCGGATCTCCACACTCGTAACAACCTCTCGTCACCATAGACTTCTATACCGAAGTCTGGCCCTGATGGCCTGAATACCTACTAGAGGAACTCTAAATAGCCAGTGGACGGTATGAACTCTCCGGTATAACACTAAAGTGGGAATTGGAAGAACCTTGGGGACTTGAATACCCACTAGAAGAACCCTAGATGGCTGGCGGGCAGTAAGAACTCTCTGGTATAGCGCTGAAATAGGGCATGCTGGAGCACTCCGAGGAGGTGGTGGTGCTGAATATGGGGGCCTGCTGGGCCAGCCCCTCCCAAACTGACCTCTTCCCCTAGCCGGGGCGCCTCTAAACTATTCGAAGAATCTATCCCTCTTGTCATGTTTCATCTACTCCCGACCCCTCAGACAGTAGCCCTCAATTCTCCGAGCAATCTCCACCACTAGCTGATAAGGAGTCCCCATCTCCACCTCTCGGGCCATGTTGGCCCTAATACCAGAATGCAACTCTACAACGAACCTCCTCACCCTCTCTGCGTTAGTAGGAAGTATCATCAATACATGGCAGGATAACTCAGAAAACCTCGCCTCATAGTCGGTCACTGACATCTGAACCTGCTCAAGATGCTTAAACTGATACCACAGCTCTTCCCTCTTAGAGGGTGGAATATACCTATCCAGGAATAACTGTGTGAACTGACCCTAAGTGATGGGAGGAGAACTTGTTGGCCTGCCAAGAACATAAGACTGCCACCATCTACGGGCCCTGCCCTCCAGCTGGAAAGTAGTGAAGTCAACCCCATGAGACTCCAATATCCTCATATTGTGTAGTCTGTCCCTACACCTATCAATGAAATCTTGGGCATCCTCATGACGCTCACCCCCGAAGATAAGAGGGTGTAGCCTAGTCCATATATCCAATAACTTCTATGGATCGCCATCCTTAGTTGGTCTGGGCTCAGGTACCACTACAGTAACTGGTTGAGCCCCATTCGCGGGTAGTGCACCCGGAGTGTGATACACTGCAGCTGCATAACCAGGAGCCTTAGTAGTAGAGGTCTGTGCTCCCTCTCCCACCTGGGATGTAGCTGGGTCTGCTAGAAATAAACCATCCTGAGTCATGGTATCCATGAACTGCAACATACGGCCCATGACCTCCTAGAAGCCCGGTGCCATCATAAAGTCAGTCGGGGTAGGCTCAGCTGCGGGCACCTCGCCCTACTCCTCAACAATGGGATCCCTTGCAGGATCCGCCGGTGGTGCTATTGGGGGAGCTCTAAGATGCCCTCGTCCCCTACCTTGGGCCGGTGCCCTCCCCCAGCCTCTACCTCGGCATCTAGAAATGGGGGGACCAGCTCTTCCCGGGTTTGGAACATCTGTCGTGCTCGTCCTCACCATCTGTTAGAGAATAGAATTAGGAAATTTAGTATACCATCCACTGCACGATAGGAGATGAATAAAGAGTAGTTTCCTAACACCCTATAGCCTCCCGAAGATAAATACATACGTCTTCGTACCGATCCACAAGACTCAATTAGGTTTGCCTATGACTTGTGAGACCTACGAGAACCTAGTTCTCTGATACCATATTATCACGATCCTATTTCCAATCTAGGTCGCAATGACGCCCAACATCGAGGTTAGGCAAGCCAAATTTAACCAACTAGTGGGTTCCTTTTTCATTATCAAAACATTTTCAACGTTTACTTAGATTAAATTTAAGGCATCCAATAATAATGAATAGTTTAGGCAATTTTGAAACTGAAGTGACCAAATGATGTCATAATTAAGTGATCACATTCCAAAAGAATAGTCCACCAGTGTGTATGCCAAGACCTGGTGTCACAAGTATATGGGCATCTAGTAGAATATACAAAAGAACATATCTATCCTACTGCCTGAACCAAAATAGACAGTACATATAATAACAAAAGGAAGAGAAACTCCAGTATGCTGCTGAACGGCTCAGAAGGGCAGCTCACCGTGGAATCTCAGTCAAGTATCAGGAACGCGCGCCGGACTGGTAGCTAGATGTACCTGCCTTAGATCTTGTACATTTAAGTACAAAAGCGTAGTATGTGTACATAAACAATATGTACCAAGTAAGTATCCAGTATAACCCTGCACCCCGCTCGTGAATCATACATGTGACGCGGTCAACACAGATAAACATATCAAGCAGTCAATCAATAATGTATCAAGAAAACAATTATCCAAGGACATGTCAATTTTCTCTTTAGCGATCAAGAAAAATGATATTTAGCTTTTTAGAAATTCAATTGCCAAGTTCAATGCGTTTCACGTAATCTAAATTAACAATAAAGTTACAGATATGGCAAGTAAGGCATGCTTTTGGATCATAGACTACCCGGACTTAAGCATAATAGTGGCTACGCACGGACTCTCGTCACTTCGTGCGTACATAGCCCCCGCAATTAGTAACAAATAGCCAATTATTTCTCCTATGGGGACAAATCCCTCTTATAAGGTTAGAAAAGAGACTTACCTTGCTTCACGGTCTACTTTCTGGTCTAAGCTTATGCCCAAATCCTCAATTCGGAGCCAAACAATCCAAAACTAATCAAACGGGGTAAGGACTAGTCAATACAAGCTCAAGAGTTCATATTCTAACTATTAAAGTAATTTTCCAACCCTAAATACAAGTTTCGTAAAATCCATCCCCAGACCCACGTGCCCGGATTCTGAAAATGTTTTAGGAAAGTTGTTACCCATAACCTAAGGATCAAGAATATATGATTTTTTACTTCATCCCATAACAAATTTTGTGGTAAAATTTTGTTTTTATCAAAACCCTAGGTTTTTAGTCTAATCTCATGATTTTCACTAATTTTTGTGTATTAATCTACCCAAAACCCAAGTATTAAGTAGAAATAACTTACCTCAGAAAGCTAGGTTAAAATCCCCTATTTGAAAGCTCCTAAATCGCCCAAGTGTAGAAGTGAAATAAAATAAATAGCCTAAGTCCCATTTTTAAAAGCTGTGTACAGGCCTCTGATGTCACATTTGCGACATCTGGTTCACAAATGCGAAGTCGCAATTGCGACAAAATGATCGCAAATGCGAACTCGGCACCCCTCTGCCTTGATCGCAAATGCGATAGAAGGGTCGCAAATGCGAACCCTGGTGGGTTCGCAAATTCGAACAAAGCATCGCAAATGCGACCATTTCCCCAGCCAGGCTTCATCGCAAATTCAGTGCTTTCCTCGCAAATGTGAGGTTTGCAAATGCGAAAATTTCCTCGCATTTGCGAGACCTGCAACTTTGCCGAGAAACACCAGAAAACTGGGGTGTTTTTCACTCCCAACCCACGTCTGAAACTCACCCGAGCCCTCGGGGCTCCACTCTGAATACTCACACAAGTTTAACAACATCATACAAACCTGCCCGTGCAATCAAATCACCGAAATAACATCTAAAACCTCGGATTCAACACCAAAACGCATGAAATCCTCAAAAACATTTGAAATTCCTATTTTTACAACCGGACGTCCGAATCATATCAAATCAGTCTTGTTTCTCACCAAATTTCAGAGACATAACTTAAATGTTATGTTGGACCTGTACTGGGCTTTGGAACCAACATACGGTCATGATACCAATGTGATCAAATATTATTCAATTTCTATAAATCCTTAGATTTTCAGTTTAACAATGTTTTAACAAAAATTCATTACTCAGGCTAGGGACCTCGGAATTCGATTTCAGGCATATGTCCAAGTCCCATATTTTACTACGGATCATGCGGGATCATCAAAATACAAGTTCGGGTCCGTTTACTAAAAAAGTTGACCAAAGTCAAACTTGACATTTTAAGCCAACCTTAAGAAACCAAGTGTTCCGATTTCAACCCAAACTCTTCCAAATTCCGAACCGATCATCCTCGCAAGTCATAAATCAGTTAAAGAAAGTACGGAAAGTCTTATTTAGGGGAACTGGGTCCTAGAAAAAAAATAACTAGACGGGTCGTTACAATAACACTGTATATTTAGAAAAATAAAATAAAATGCCTACTCATGTGCAGAACACATCAGCAAATATTTGTAAAAAATATTCACAAGGTCTTCCAAGAGAAAAATACATTTTAGAATCCATCCACACTTGATGAATACTTAATAGAAAGGAGTACAAATTTTAGAGAGAGAGAGAGAATGAAAGAGAAACCTTGAGAGGATGAAGATCGGCTTTGAGATCGAGAGAAATGTGCTCCCGGCCTTCGACTTTGCTTAACCTCTTTTCCATCTAGGCGTCCATAGACATAGATAAACAGAAAAATTAATCAAATTTTCAATAATACTCCAGGAATTTTTAGCAACAATATCCTATGCGGAGCAAAGACCAAGAATGAAAAATTGATGATAAGGGTTACAACAGAAATTGAAGCATTTCTGCAGATAGTGAAAAGAGCTATGAAAGAGCATATGAGATTGAAGAACAAGGAGAACCAAGATACGAAGAAACCAAAACAAGGTATGATACGTACCTTTTAAGGGGCATGATGAAAGACACGTAAAAGTTAATAGTTGAAAAGTCCAATATGCCCTTAGTTATATATCTATTGACTTGGAAGCACATAGGTCGAAACCTGTGGCTCTTTTATAATATAGAAATATTTAAACGCTAGGCAATTCCTAGGCGTGCCTTCAACTGTTGACTATGTGTTCTTACACGATCCTTGGTCAACATCAATTAATAAAATGATCGTGTACATCCCCGCTCCTTGACTCTTCAATAATCAATTGTGTTTGACCATGTGTTCATACTTGTTCCCTGGTTAAATACCCATAAAAAAATAAAGATCTTGTGTGCTTACACGCTCATAGGACAAAATTGATAGCAATTCGATTAATTATTAAACGACAATAGACACTAGTAATTTAAGGTATATAACACACATTTTTATCTGAAAAATACTTCAAGCCAAGTTTTAGTCAATAAAAGCGACCGTGCTAAAATCACGGGATTCGGGAATTGTCTTACACTTTCTTTCCAGTCAACAGAATTCCTTACCTAGTCTCTTGTTCTCGCGAACCAATAATAATAGAGTTAAACCTTCCTTTGACTAGGGAAAGATGACTTGGAATACCCAAAAATTAATTCCAAGTGGCGACTCTATAAATAAGATAATCCCCACTCAAGTTTATCACTTTAATTTAAAAAACTTTTTAACCCACTATAACATATCTAGCGGGTAGAAAATGGTGTGACAAGTGGATAAAATTATAATTATATTTTAAACGGCTGATATGCTAATATAAAGAATTTGAATTGACAAAAATAAAGAAGCTAATTTAATTTTTTTTAAAATTTACCATATGAGTAAAATTATTTTTATGCTGACAAATATCTTAGGATATATAAATTTGTTTGATAAGAAAAGCATTAACAGTGAAAGAAATCAGAAAATAAAGCAACATTCATTATAGTATAATATTATGAGTCAAATAGATAAAAATACAGACTTGAAATAATAAAAATGAAGTTGTGATGGCCCAAAAGGTTATCTCGTGTTTTAGAACCCAATTCGGGATTTTGAGGCCTTCAAACCCTCATCTTACTTCTCCTCGATTTGCATGCACAGTCCGGGCGCGTTTCAGGAAAGCCTTTATGTGAAAATTTGAGAAAATAATAATTTTTGCCTTTAAAAGTGATTTTAGTTGACTTCGGTCAATATTTTGAGTAAACGGACCATTGTTTTGGAGGTCTGCGATCAAAATTAGGTCGGGGTTTACGGAAACTTTAGCGTGCAGGGGGTGATTGATAGTGGGATGGTTGAGCATCATAAGTTTGGTAGACATGAGCGGGTTGGGAGTATTTGGGGGAGATGACTGATAAGTTGGTGGCAGAGCTTGGTATGAGGGTGCTTGGTAATTTGGGGTTGGCTGGTATGGGAGTGGAGGTGTTGGGTAAGCTTGGTATTTAAGGGATACTTGGTCCTTTGTGCAACCATCACGGCCCCTACGTCCCTTTTCTTGGACACACCACCGGACTGTAAAGCCTTATTTATAGCTTACAAGGCTTCGAAAATTGTAACCATACCATATTTAATGCCTTCTTCAATTCTTTATCCTAATTTGATAATGTCGGAGAACTTGTGGTTCTCAATCATCATCAGTCGTTCATAGTACTGCGGGTCCTGAGCCCGGAAAAAAAACTTGTTCATTTGCTCCTCTCCTAAGGTGGGTCTGACCTTAGCAGCTTCGGACCTCCAACGAGTAGCATACTCGCAAAACGTCTCCATGGGCTTCTTCTTCAAATTATGGATATAGAACACGACTGGTGCATTCCATGTATTAAAGCTGAATCTGTCCATAAAGTCAGATGCCATGCCTACCCAGCTTGACCACTTCTTGGGATCTTGTTCTGATGTACCAAGATAATGCATCCCCTTTTAAACTCCTTATGAACAGCTTTATGCGGATCCTTTCATCCTTCCCTACTACAACCATCTTGTCGCAATATATTCTCAGATGGACCCTTGGATCACCCGTACCATCAAACATTTCGAACTTAGGAGGTTTTTACCCCTCAGGCATGTTACAACCCATATCCACATGTGTTTGTTCATGCCATATATTAGTTAACATAAATCCAAGAAGGAATTATCTTTGAGATGATAAGAAGTCAATCCTATTGGTCTTAAGTGATACAAGAGTGTATAAGGGTGATTAACCAGTATTAGAAGTTAAACGAATCAAGGATGTTGTAACTCGTATTTTCAGGTAATCTAGCGGTGCTTAATACACTCAAGAGGTCATTTATTAAGGTATTTTAATCATATAATATCCGTATCATAAGTCTTGAAGTCAAACGAGTTATGAAACAAAAGTCGACAAAAGTTGTCGCAACTTAGGTTCATAATTTTACTTAAACATTAGGTCAAATATTTCTAATCTTTTCTCATAATTTACAAGGAATTACGGGGTGGTCTACCAACAAAATTAAAGATCTATGAGTCTAGTATCCAACGCATTAAACTGTTCATCGATACGATCTCGGAGTAGAGAGATATTCGCGTTTTCGCGAGACTGCGCCAAGCACCTCTCTATGGGGCCCACTAAGTCGGTTTAAGATATTTGGACCTATATAGGATGACTCCAACCCGTTTTAAGTCATTTCTTTTCACTATTTTCAGACCTTAGAACCCTAGGAACATCCTCTCAAGGTTCTCTCAAGATTCAAGACCCAAAAAAAGGGCAAACAACACAAATCAAGTGTCGGGAATTCCGTGGCGCTAGTAAGTCTCTTGTTCTTCTTGTTGTTGCTCATTTTTGTGTCGTTCCAGCTCGTGTGGGAGGTTGTTTTAAAGGGTTTATGTTCTGTAAATACTCCCTCATGTTCTTAATATCAATCCTAGGTGATTTCAAGCCTTCTAAAGTGATTCTAGTGCCGAAAAACACTAATTGATCGCTAGTTTCGCTTTTTTGTTGTTGTGGAAGCATTGGAGGGATATTTCATGGAAATTTAAGGTCAAATTGGAGTTTTTCTTGCCGTATAAAGGTAAGTAACCTCTTACTCTATATGTATTTAAGATTATCCAAGTTGCAGCTATGCCATTGAAGCTAGAACTTGTGAAATATATATCGAAAGGCTTGGTAGTAATGTTATTGTTTTGTGGACTGTTTTGCGTTGTTGTTGGGCTGCGTATTTTACTACTATCTTGTGGAGTTTTGGAGGAGGAAGGGTGTGGAGAAACACCATATATATGTAGGGTTATGGGCTGATAGTTATTCGTAACATTTCCAGGTTGTTTGACACGACTACGGTGGTCGTCGTATGTATGGAGTGATTAGGCTGTGTGTGGACTATTTTGGGAGGCTCAATATGTTTATTATTGATGTTGTTTGGGCTGTTTGGTGACTGTTTTGAATGGTGTGAGGTCATATATATAGGGGAGGTGCTGTCCGTTTCATCGTAAAATAGGTTGTGGTCGATACATAATAGTTATGACGCTTAAATGATAACGATAGTATCGTTTCTCTTATTGTAGACTAAGGAGTTTTGACAATTGCATAGCTTGAGATTGGGGCAGTATATACAAGGTATGTGAGGCTATCCCTTTCCTTCTTTTGCACGACTCCGATTGTACATAATGTAATGAACGAGCTTCCAAGATACTCTACTCTTAGAAGCTAGCAGTACTTACATTGTTTTCCCTCTTATGGAACGATTGATGTTAATGTTGCTTCTCTTATTCTTATGTTATCAATGTTGTTGGTACTTCCTGATTCTTATAAGGTTCATAGTGAAGAGTTAGTCCTAATAACGTGTACAGAGGATACCGACCTTACGTCACTCCGAAAGGTTTAGAATGTGATTCCATGAGTCGAGCATGCATTATATATATGTATCTATTTTACTCTACCGAGCCACGCTATAGTTGGCCGGGTACGACACCTATTGTGCAACCACTGATCAGTTGGGTTTTACCGAGCTCCACGTGGCCGGGTACGATTCTACCGAGCCTATTATGGCCGGGTACGATATGATGATGATGATGCCCACAGAGGCGAATGCTTTAAAGGTTTATGTATTTATACATATGTATCATGCATTTCATGTAAGTAGCCCTCAGAGGTACTAAGATGTTACAGGTTGTATATTCTCTATCCTTGCTTACATTACTGATCGTATTTATGGTTCCTTGTCTTACATACTCAGTACTTTATTCGTACTGACGTCCTTTTATTTGTGGATGCTGCATGTCGTGCTGCACGTCCTGATAGACAGGTAGGTGCAGCTCCCTCACTATAGTAGACTGTCCAGTTCAGCGGTGATTGACGAGATCCCTTCTCCGGACTTGCCTTGGTCTTGGTATGCAATTTTTGTTATAGACATTATGGGTATGTCGGGGCCCTGTTCCGGCTATGTTGCAACACTTATGTTCTTTTAGAGGCTCATAGACAGGTGTCGGCTCATGTATAGTTTGGTATGCCTTGTCGGCTAGTTTTTGTTGTATAGTCTTTCATAGTAGCGTGGTAGCTCATACCTTATATGTAGTTTCTTGATTGTCTGGTCATCCCCTGCTATGTATGTTCATGCCGTCATATTTTATTGCTGGTTGTCCATGATCTAGGTCTACCATTTATATTGATCTCGTCAGCCCTAAAAGATAATAATGAAGGTTAGATGAAATGTGCGTTGGTGCTCGGCAAGTGTAGTCGGGTGCTAGTCATGGCCCTTCAGTTTGGGTCGTGACAAGACAGTTCAACATCAGGCTGTATGCAAAGGTCCTCATAGTTTAGCCCCTCGATTCCTTTGCTTCCCTCAAAACCCTGAAGCCGGCTGGTCAGTTTCTTAAGTTCTTCGGCCAAGTTCCTGATAACCAGATCCTTTTCATCAGACTCAGGTATGCATGAGATTGGTTGGGTGGAGTGTGGCATGGTCTCCACGTAGATAAGATTGTTATGGTGGCCTGGTGTATGGGTGT